TGTAATTTGTGAATTCTAAACCTCTGTTGTATGTACTTTAACCAAGCTTAAATAAAAAAATTCCGCAAAATTATATTGCTTTTGGAATTTTTTGTTTTTAATTTGCTGTAACATCTCACTCATCAAAAATAGCAGTATTTTGTAGTGCTTTTCAATTGTTTACTTGTTGGCTACATTAGTCCCTAACATGTAACGATGTCATATAATATAAATTGTACATTCTATTTATAGGCTTGGCAGCAGATCTATATATGTAAATATTATAAAAAATATTCGCTATAAATAGAGAATTAAAGATATCTTCAATTAGAAATAGAATAGTTGATGGATGGCAATTGACAGACAGACATCAACATGAACCGCTCTGCTCTGCATCGTTAATGACAGTGCAGCTACAAAGAAAAAAATTAAAGATACCATCACAAAATGATCCAATCTCATAGAGGTCCACCCAAAGTATAAAAGCAATAGAAGTTTTCAAGAAGTCGGTTAAAAAAAGTTGATGCGAGACGACGACAGACAATCACCTATATCGACAGTTGTCATCTTTAATGAATATTTAACTTATAATTATAATGCTCCTGGATTTAAAGATGGTATGGATTATAACACCAGTTAAACAGTTGAGGGCGCCCTTGCTATTTATGAAACCAAGGTAAAAATAAAAACAAGCAGCCTCTCAGCTGAGATAGCTCCGCTGTTAACAATGCACATTACAATTAAAGAACAGATATCATTAGAAAATGAACAATATGTATAGTATCAAAGCAATCAGACTTGCGGTTTTCAACAATATTGGAAAATATCACTTTTTACCAAAAATTACAAAAATATTCATCAAAATTAGAGAATTGAAGATATCATCATGAAATGAACAAATCTGAGTTAGAGCCACATGTAGTACCTATATATGTAATATCAAAGCAATTGGACTTGAGGTTTTTAACAAGAAGTCGAAAATATCACTTTTTACAAAAAATGACAAAAATATTCACCAAAATTAGACAATTGAAGATATCGTTACAAAATGAAAAAATCTGAGAGAGGTCCACATGTAGTATCTATATATGTAATAGCAAAGCAATTGGACCTGCGCTTTTCAACAAGAAATTGTAAATATCACTTTTTACCAAAAATGACACTTGCATATCAAATTTGAAAACATTCTGACTTGCGGTTTTGAAGAAGAAGTTGAAATTGTAAAGTTGACGCCGACGCCGATGACGGACAACAACGACGGACAATCAGTAATATGAACAGCTCTGCTGTGTTGACTTTGCAGAGCTAAAAATATCAGGAAGTTTGTCTTCTTTTCCAGTGTGCTGGCTTTATGTAAAGATATTTCTGCGGACATATTTATGTGTAGTGTTTTTTAAGGCTATTATAGTTTAAATAAATAAAGCAGGATCCTTGTGAACTAAGCATGGCATTTATTAGCTGATGTATCCAAATACTTGACATATAGTGACTTCACTAAAAAGTGCACATATATACAATTTCTACATATAATCTGACTTACATAATTAAAACATTATAAAAGAAACAACAAAAGTAGAAGACTTAAATATGCAATCCACCAAATTTCTTCTACCTACAAAACATACATACTATTAGTTTAAGTAATACAATGAACATATTCTTTCAAGTTTTCATCTGATCTCAGTAAATGAGCTAGAAAATATATGATGGCAAAAGACTGGTCAAATTTTCAAATTCAAAACATGTACTTCAATTGTCACTTATTCTGTTCAGAACACTCCAAACCAGTTCAAAGCAGTTCCATCCAGTCTATCCAGATCTCATTTAAATGTGTTGAATCTTAACTTAATAAAAACAAATGAGAAAATAAGTAAAAGATGAATATATAAATTCAATATCTGAATTAATTAAAGGGCGGCAGTCGTTGTGTCGCGTCCTGTTCGATATGGGACTCATAACGACGTATACAACGCGTGTAAAATACATTGTTTATTTACATGAAATTCAAACACGCGCTGCGTGACGACCACCGCGCTTTAATATTTATATCAGATGAATTTGCTCTTTCAATGTTATGAATATTCTAATTCTAATTGAAATGTCCTCTTGAAGTCTCTACAGATTAGAATATACTTAATAAAATTAACACTTTTTAAACATTAAATAATAATCAATAAAACTTAATATATATCTTTTGAACTATTTTTTTACAAAAAAGTTCATAGTTCTGATTTTTTTTGCATTTTTTTTTCGTGATGCAACATGGTTGATCTTTTCCAATGTTTTGCTAATTAGTATTAATGTGATGAATGATATAAACAAATTCACAATGTTTTAAAGAGTTGCTGCGCAGTCCATTAAAGTTTGACAGTGTGTCAGTCAATCATAAAATAAGCTCCATGGCCTATACAGCTACACTTGCCATAGGTGGTTGTCGCAAAGTGTGCAAGTAAAATACAGTTGCCATAATAAAAATATATTGCTATGGTCACAATAATGTGCAATGAATTCCCAAAAACAAAGAAATGTTTTTAGAAGATTTCTTTCCCACTATTTGATACAGCATTTAATATTTCAACATAAATGTGCTCGCAACATTCAGATAATCAAAGTATAATTATGATGATACCAATCCCATATCAGTGTGCCTGTTTCACCTTACAACATTCTACTCGTATACCAGATCTAGAAAGTAAAACAATTAAGATTGAAATACAATATTTTCAGTAATTACTCTTTAACCCTTTGAACAGTTTGGTGTCACATCAGATTTTGATCAAGGCCCAATCATGAAAGTAAGCGATTAAATGTTTGTACACACAATAATTAGAACAAGTCATTATGAACAAGAGTAGACAGTTAATTAGCCTGCAGGTGCCTTCTAAAACCAAAAGCATGAACATGGTTAAGATTCCTAGAATTTGCTAGTATTGGCCCAAATGAACATTAGCTTCAATAAATAGAAGACAAAAAGACAAAGACTTTTATGTTCAAAAAAGACATGGTATTTATTTATTTATTTAATTAATGTTGAGACCCAGGAAGTGATGTCAGATTTGAACTAAATATCTCTTAAAATAAACTTTTATCTTTACCCCAAATGTTTAATTGTTCATCAAAACCTGTTATGTCACATTATATGTTGAGAGAAATACAGAAAACTAAAGGTGAGTGTATCCTTTAGGCAGGTATCAGTGGGATGAGATCACTTGGGAATTTATAAATAAATGAATGATTAACATAATTAACAATAAGTGGAACTTATATTGGTATTCTCAGTAACTCAAATACTGCATGTCTATATAATTTGGCATATGTCACATGATCATGGTTATCACATTTGGTGTTCTAAAAAATTAAAAGATCATAAAACAAGTGTTTTTGTTTTTATCAAATCTAGCTGTACTTTGTTTGGTGAAATGTTTTTTCTGTGTCACCCTTTCCTACATTGCAATGCAGTAAACAATGAAAAGAAAAATATTACAAATTACTGAGAATACATACGTATATTAAAACTGGTGCCAACCATCACCAATTGGACATTATTAACCAATTATACTTGACCTAATTTGTTTATTTACATAATTCTATAATTTACAATTAAATTCTATCATAAAAATATGGATATTATGAATACTCTATTTAGCAAGCATTAGCATTACTGCAACTGGTATGAGGACATAATTTAAAACTGTACAGGGGTGAGGAGAAATACTTAGTGTGAGTAATGATGTCATGCTGGTAAGACGGTCAAACTTCTCATTGGTGTTCATTTCTATAAAGGTTCAAAATCTCATGATGTACCCTGTAACTGTAAGTGACTTATTTATGACTAAGGGGATTTATCTGTAAATAAATAAAATGTAAGGCACTGAGAATAGAATCAATATTTCTTCAGTTATTCAATCGTTAACCATCAAGTTCGAATTTATAATCATATTAGTAGAACTGACATTGCCATATGAGTAAAAATTCATTATGCGTCTCTAAGAATTCTTGCAACGACACAGTTATATGGTGGTGTTATATTAGGCCAGTTGACTTGATCATCAACCCATCCTTTCTTCTCACACTCCAGTTTCCATACTCGGTTTTCTGGTTCTTCTTCACCATTTTCACCACCCATTGCATACAAGGCACCATTGTAGTTGACTACTTGGTAAGAACATCTACCGTCAGGTATCTCTGGTCCAAAACGCCACTCGTTATTTATTGGGTTGTAGATTTCTACTGATTTCAAGACACTCTCTGACTGTCTATCATTCATCAATGACACTGTCCCACCAACCACATACAGCTCTTGTTTGAAAACTGCAACTCCTGCACTGCATCTTGGGAGAATCATGTTGGCTGCATTGGACCAAATATCAGTTCTGGGATTATAGCACATGACTGTGTCTAATATAGTTTCTTCACATTCACCTCCAATGACATATAACTGTCCACCAGTTGCAGTCACACAGTGCCCCTTGATGGTATTGGGCAATGGTGCAACAAAACGCCATGAGTTAGTTTGCGGGCTGTAAACTTCAACAGATGATAGCACACCATCAGGACCAACACCACCAACTGCATAAATCAGACCATCCAAAACTGCTAATCGGAAGTGGGTACGTGAAAATGCCATTGGAGCACGGGATAACCATTTCTTCTCAAACAGATCATATTGAAAGAGCCCACCTCCCCTTCGGTGCATCCTTCTGGCACTAAAATCTAGGTGCTGCTTGCCTGCAGCAAAAATCTGATTCTCTCCCATAACTACACACTCTGGATGCTCTATCAGATCAGGAAGAGTTTTTATCCGATAGTTATCATTGCCAATTGCAGACTCCGAAACTTCATTGCGTGACAGGATGATAATCATATCACGGAAAGGCATGCCTCGTCGAGTGTTGACATTCATGTTACTTAGAAGCTTCAGGTTAGGTCTACGATCCTTTAGTAGATGATACTGCAATGCTTCTTCAAAGATCTGTTGACATGGTTTGGAAGAATAAATGAGACGTTCACGTTCCATACAGTCGTGAATGAAATACGGACTAAGAAGAGAAAAACGAACATGCTTGATAACTTCAAGTAGATCATCTTTGCGGCCTTCCAGGTCACGCTTCACCCAAGTCATAACAGCTTCATAGACTATTTCTTCTCGGTCAACATTGATATCATCTTGGGATATGACATCTACAATTTTATCTTTACTTAAGTTGTAAAACTCTTCCTCTCTACAAACTTCAGTAAATTTCTCAAAGATTAACTTCCTTGCAAGTTCTTGTAGTTTACCACATTCGTGTGCGGATGCAAAGAAGTAGATGTTGATGCAGTTATTCAATGTGACATGCTTCTCCATGTAAGTTGCACATGCATCTCTTAGATTTAACAACTGGAACATATTGGAAGCCAACATAACGGCTTGTACGTTGTCAACAGTAATTTCCAACTCAGATGTATATGCATACTCAATTATCAACCGCATAGCTTCTGCTTCAACACCATTAATTCGGATCTTATTTTGTCGACTTTCAGTGAGATCATGTGTGAACATAGCATGAAAATAGGGACTACAGGATGCTAAGACAATACGATGACAAGGATAAGATTCATTCTCCACACAAAGGGTTACATCCACTAGATCTTGACTGTCATACATAGTCTTAAGTCCTGATAGTATTTTAGGCAGATGCTGAACATCAATATATTTGTACGTTTCCGGGAAGAAGTCAAATACATTTTCAGCAGTGGGCTTACACTCATTTGATGCTTTTGAACTTGTAATGGTAGTGCTAAGAGATGGTTTTGACTGTGTTACTACCACTGATGGTTGAGTTGTGTCATATTTATTTGAAGTGTATGATGACACAGATAAATGTCCCCTCATATGATCTCTCAGTTCTCTCAAATCTCTTTCTGATCTTGAACTCCAACCTGATCCAAAAGAATAATTGGAGGCGCCACTAGTGGTATTATCCTCTGCATCTGGATCTTGTAGAAAGTTCACATTAGGTACCTTGGGCATTGATTTTCTTTTGACCATGGGACTTGGTGAATGTGATGCACCAGACAGCAATTCCTGTAACTCTGCTCTGTCTCGTTCGGCCTGTGTTCTTCTCTTGGACATTTTGGGACTAGGAGGTGGCATATCATGGTGCATCTCATCGCCATCACCACTATTACCACCACCACTGCCTCCCAGCAGTCTCCGCATGGACCGAATTTTGATGCTTTATATGTACTGAACAGAGAGATAATGTGCACACTTGTCGTGTGAAAAGGATGCCTTCAAGACCTTTCTGCAATATCTGATAGGTCAGGTAAAATCTGTAATATAAAAAACATTAAATGTATTTAACAGGATTATGAAATTTAATATACAAGATGAAGAGAGACCGTTTTGGTTGTCCATGACCCACTCTGCAATGTTATCATGCCAGAATTAATGTAAAAAGGAATTTAAGATTCATATAAAACATCAGATACACACCACTCAGTTACTAACAAATGTAAATATCATTTTCAAAATCAAATAAAGATTGGAAATATTATAAATAACAATAATTATTAATATTTTGGTAAATAATGGCAAATCTGTGAAAGGTGGTCACATAAGAGAGGTGGTCTTATACACAAGTTGCTCATATATACATTATGTCTTGGCACTACTTAAAAGTGTTCTCTAACAGTATATGGCAAATTTGAATGAAAACTGTTAAGCATGCATGCATGTCCACATTTTCAGCAAATAAAACTCCCAGTCAGCTATCTCTAATCAAATCTCAAAATGAATTGACAGGCACATGTATTTATTTATGATACATGTGCAAAATATACAGAAAATTGAATGAAGCTAGGGAGGTCAATAATTAGTGACACCTTGTGATACAAACACATATCCAGAATAAAGTGTTCAAAAACACAAGTCATTGAAAATGACACAGTCCCCGTTAAGTTCTCTTTGTGCTCGTCATATTAAAGTAGAGGGGTTGTCGCGAGCGTGTCCTTGAAACTTGAGTTCCAAGTGGCATATACAACAGATTGTTTATTTACATCAAAACACGTTTTCCGGGCAAGGTAATATGTCCAAAATAAAAACAGCCGTTATTCGGCCATCTTTGATCTGATTATGAAACACACTGATATGTATGATGTATGTGCCAAATACGAATGAAAATGGTACATAAATTGTAGAAATATAGTAGTAAGGCCAAAAAGTCAGATGGCTGTCAATCGGCCATCCTTGACCAGATTTTGAAACAAATTGTCATGGACATGCATCCTAACATGTATAAAGTACATGTATGTGCCAAATTTGAATGAAAACTGACAGAGATACCGCATAAAAAAACAAAACAAGATGCCTGCCAGTCAACCATCTTTGATCCAATTGCGAAATAAATCTTCATGGACATGTATCCTAATATGTATAATCTATGTACCAAGTTTGAATGACAACTGACAAAGCATGTCCAAAATACAACATTTTCAAAAAACAAGATTGCTGCCAGTCTGCCATTTTGAATCAAATTGCTAAACCACTGCATGTGCATATGTCCCACATAAGGTACTAGGCACATGCAAAGAATGAACGGAATCGGTCCACAGGATTCTGAAATATGACTCTTGGACAGATTGAGGGACGGACGGACACACGGACGGACGGACAGACTCAGGAACTCACAGACGGTCGGGGACATGTATCCTAACATGTATGATCTATGTACTAAATTTGAATGAAAACTGACAAAGCATGTTCAAAATACAACATTTTCAAAAAACAAGATGGCTGCCAGTTGGCCATCTTTGATCCAATTGTGAAATAAATCGTAATGGACATGTATCCTAACATGTTTAATCTATGTACCAAATTTGAATGAAAACTGACAAAGCATGTCT